AAAAACAGAAAATTCAAAGTCATAGAAAGGTTTTTTGTCACCTATTTTAATCCAATTGTTGTCCCCCACCAACTTTCTTAGAATTGAAAAATGTGAATTTTTTTTCTCCACCCTAAAAAAACCTAAAACAGCAGGAATTTTTTTATAGTGGAACAAACTGATAAAATCCTTGTTCTGGGAATTGAAAATTCCAGCAGGAATGGTGGGAAGAAAATAAAAATCCAAGTCACAGATGGGTTTTTTTGGGCACTTTTTAAATCCAGTTATCCCCATCAACACAGAATTAAGAAATAAATTTTCAGGAAATCAAAATTCCAGCAGAAAAGAAAATAAAAAATCAAAGTTACAGAGGAATTATTTGGTCACTTGTTTTATCCAACTGCTGTCCCCACCAACTTTCTTAGAATTGAAAAATGTGAATTTTTCTCTATCCTAAAAAGCCGAAACTGCAGGAATTTCATCATGGTGGAACAAATGGATAAAATCTTTGTTCTGGGGTTTGCAGGGCTGCAGAATTCCAAAATTCCAAAAACCAAAGAGGAATTTTTTGGTCACTTGTCTTATCCAACCATTGACTCACCAACCTCCTAAAAATTGAAAAATGTGAATTTTTCTCTACCCTAAAAAGCCAAAATAGCAGGAATTTTTTCATGGTGGACCAAACTGATAAAATCTTTGTTCTGGGGTTTGCAGGGATGCAGAATTCCCAAGGAAAGGTGGAAATAAAAATCAGAGTCATAGATGGGGGTTTTTTTTTGGCACTTTTTAAATCCAGTGGTCCCCATCAACTTTCTTAAAATTCACGTTTTTCAATTCTTCTCCACCCTAAAAAGCTGAAACAGCAGGAAATTTTTCATGGTGGACCAAATGGATAAAATCTTTGTTCTGGGGTTTGCAGGAATGCAGAATTCCCAAGGAAAGGTGGAAATAAAAATCAAAGTCATAGATGGGTTTGTTTTTTTGGCAGTTTTTAAATCCAGTTGTCCCCATCAACTCTCTTAGAATTGAAAAACGTGAATTTTTCTCCACCCTAAAAAGCCAAAATAGCAGGAATTTCATCATGGTGGAACAAACGGATAAAATCTTTGTTCTAGGGTGTGCAGGGCTGCAGAATTCCCAAGGAAAGGTGTAAATAAAAATCAAAGTGGATTTTTTTTGTCACCTGTCTTATCCAACCATTGACTCACCAACCTCCTAAAAACTGAAAAACGTGAAATTTTTTCTCCACCCTAAAAAGCCGAAACTGCAGGAATTTTTTCATGGTGAACCAAACGGATAAAATCTTTGTTCTGGGGTTTGCAGGGCTGCAGAATTCCCAAGGAAAGGTGGAAATAAAATAAAAACCAAAGAGGAATTTTTTGGTCTCTTGTCTTATCCAACCATTGACTCACCAACCTCCTAAAAACTGAAAAATGTGAATTTTTGTCCACCCTATAAAGCCAAAACTGCAGAATTTTTTCATGGTGGAACAAACTGATAAAATCTTTGTTCTGGGGATTGCAGGAATGCAGAATTCCCAAGGAAAGGTGGAAATAAAAATCAAAGTCATAGATGGGGGTTTTTTGGGGGAATTTTGAAATCCAGTTGTCCCCATCAACTTTCTTATAATTGAAAAACATGAATTTTTTCTCCACCCTAAAAAGCCAAAACTGCAGAATTTTTTCATGGTGGACCAAATGGATAAAATCTTTGTTCCAGGGGCTGCAGAATTCCCAAGGAAAGGTGGAAATAAAAATCAAAGTGGAATTTTTTTGTCACCTGTCTTATCTAACCATTGTCTCACCAACCTCCTAAAAATTGAAAAANAAAAAAAAAGCTGAATTTTGGAGAGATTTGATCACAAAAATGTGGAAATTGCTGTTGCAAAACGCTGCAACCTCAATAAATTCCCAAATTCCACAACTTACTGGACTGGGAGTCTCCTTCATTTTCTGTTCAGCTATTTTGAGGTTGGATTTGTACGTTTCGTTGTCCGGATCCAACTCCAGAGCTTTTTTGTAGTAAACAACGGCTTCTGTGTGTTTGTTTAAGCTGGACAGGGCCAAGCTGGGAAAAAACAGAAAATTCAAAGTCATAGAAAGGTTTTTTGTCACCTATTTTAATCCAATTGTTGTCCCCCACCAACTTTCTTTGAATTGAAAAATGTGAATTTTTTTTCTCCACGCTAAAAAAACCTAAAACAGCAGGAATTTTTCATAGTGGAACAAACTGATAAAATCCTTGTTCTGGGAATTGCAAATTCCAGCAGGAATGGTGGGAAGAAAATAAAAATCCAAGTCACAGATGGGTTTTTTTGGGCACTTTTTAAATCCAGTTATCCTCATGAACATAGAATTAAGAAATAAATTTTCAGGAAATCAAAATTCCAGTAGAAAAGAAAATAAAAAAAATCAAAGTTACAGAGGAATTATTTGGTCATTTGTCTTATCTAACTGCTGTTCCACCAACCTCCTAAAAATTTAAAAATGTGAAATTTTTCTCCACCCTAAAAAACCTAAAACAGCAGGAATTTTTTATAGTGGAACAAACTGATAAAATCCTTTTTCTGGGAACTGAAAATTCCAGCAGGAATGGTGGGAAGAAAATAAAAATCAAAGTCACAAAGGGTTTTTCTTTTTTGGCACTTTTTAAATCCAGTTGTCGCCACCAACTTAGAATTAAGAAATAAATTTTCAGGAAATCAAAATTCCAGCAGAAAAGAAAATAAAAAATCAAAGTTACAGAGGAATTATTTGGTCATTTGTTTTATCCAACTGCTGTCCCCACCAACTTTCTTAGAATTAAAAAATATTAATTTTTCTCCACCCTAAAAAGCTGAAACTGCAGGAATTTTTTCATGGTGGAACAAACGGATAAAATCTTTGTTCTGGGGAATGCAGGGCTGCAGAATTCCAAAATTCCAAAAACCAAAGAGGAATCTTTTGGTCACTTGTCTTATCCAACCATTGACTCACCAAACTCCTAAAAATTGAAAAACGTGAATTTTTCTCCACCCTATAAAGCCGAAACTGCAGGAATTTTTTCATGGTGGACCAAACGGATAAAACCTTTGTTCTGGGGTGTGCAGGAATGCAGAATTCCCAAGGAAAGGTGGAAATAAAAATCAAAGTGGAATTTTTTTGTCACCTGTCTTATCCAACCATTGTCTCACCAACCTCCTAAAAATTGAAAAACGTGAAATTTTTTCTCCACCCTACAAAGCCGAAACTGCAGGAATTTTTTCATGGTGGACCAAATGGATAAAATCTTTGTTCTGGGGTGTGCAGGGCTGCAGAATTCCCAAGGAAAGGTGGAAATAAAAGTCAGAGTCATAGATGGGGTTTTTTTTTTTTGGCAGTTTTTAAATCCAGTGGTCCCCATCAACTTTCTTAAAATTCACGTTTTTCAATTCTTCTCCACCCTAAAAAGCCAAAACTGCAGGAATTTTTTCATGGTGGACCAAACGGATAAAACCTTTGTTCTGGGGTGTGCAGGGATGCAGAATTCCCAAGGAAAGGTGGAAATAAAAATCAAAGTCATGGTTTTTTTTTGGGGCACTTTTTAAATCCAGTGGTCCCTATCAACTTTCTTAGAATTGAAAAACGTGAAATTTTTTCTCCACCCTAAAAAGCCGAAACTGCAGGAATTTTTTCATGGTGTAACAAACTGATAAAATCTTTGTTCTGGGGTTTGCAGGGATGCAGAATTCCCAAGGAAAGGTGGAAAGAAAATAAAAACCAAAGAGGAATTTTTTGGTCACTTGTCTTATCTAACCATTGTCTCACCAACCTCCCAAAAATTGAAAAATGTGAATTTTTGTCCACCCTATAAAGCCAAAACTGCAGAATTTTTTCATGGTGGACCAAATGGATAAAATCTTTGTTCTGGGGTGTGCAGGAATGCAGAATTCCCAAGGAAAGGTGGAAATAAAAATCAAAGTAATGTTTTTTTGGGTCACTTTTTAAATCCAGTTGTCCCCATCAACTCTCTTAGAATTGAAAAACGTGAAATTTTTTCTCCACCCTAAAAAGCCGAAACTGCAGGAATTTTTTCATGGTGGACCAAACGGATAAAATTTTTGTTCTGGGGTGTGCAGGGCTGCAGAATTCCCAAGGAAAGGTGGGAATAAAAATCAAAGTCATAGATGGGTGTTTTTTGGGGGAATTTTGAAACCCAGTTGTCCCCATCAACTTTCTTAGAATTGAAAAATGTGAAATTTTTTCTCCACCCTAAAAAGCCGAAACTGCAAAATTTTTTCATGGTGAACCAAACGGATAAAATCTTTGTTCTGGGGAGTGCAGGAATGCAGAATTCCCAAGGAAAGGTGGAAATAAGAATCAAAGAGGAATTTTTTGGTCACTTGTCTTATCCAACCATTGTCTCACCAACCTCCTAAAAACTGAAAAACGTGAAATTTTTTCTCCACCCTAAAAAGCCGAAACTGCAGGAAATTTTTCATGGTGTAACAAACTGATAAAATCTTTGTTCTGGGGTGTGCAGGGCTGCAGAATTCCCAAGGAAAGGTGGAAATAAAAATCAAAGTCATGGTTTTTTTTGGGGCACTTTTTAAATCCAGTGGTCCCCATCAACTTTCTTAGAATTGAAAAATGTGAATTTTTCTCCACCCTATAAAGCCGAAACTGCAGGAATTTTTTCATGGTGGACCAAATGGATAAAATCTTTGTTCTGGGGTTTGCAGGGCTGCAGAATTCCAAAATTCCAAAAACCAAAGAGGAATTTTTTGGTCACTTGCCTTATCCAACCATTGACTCACCAACCTCCTAAAAATTGAAAAACGTGAATTTTGCTCCACCCTAAAAAGCCAAAACTGCAGGAATTTTTTCATGGCGGATCAAACGGATAAAATCTTTGTTCTGGGGTGTGCAGGGCTGCAGAATTCCCAAGGAAAAGTGGGAATTTGCCCGGGAGGAGGCTGCTCACCCCATCCTGCCGTAGGCTTTGCTGTAGCTGGGGTCGATGCCGATGGCTCGCTCGCAGTCCCGCACGGCTCCCGCGTAATTCCCCAGTTTGCTGTAGGCAGCAGCTCTGGAAAAAACGGGAAAAATCCACAATCTCCTGCACTGCCAAGCAAATTGGGTTCTGTTTGTTATCTGGATGGCAGTTTTCCTTATCTCTTCCACAACATCTGCTGATAAGAGGCTGTTGAATGTCATTGCATGGGTGATAAGAGCTGCAGCATCCCATTGGGAGATGTGAGGCCAGAGGGAGGAGCCAAGCATTCCTGCCTGGATATAATCTGGAGATTTCAAATATTCCTACCTGGATACAATCTAGAGATTTCAAACATTCCCACAATCTGAGATTTCAAACATTCCCACCTGGAAATAATCCTGAGATTTCAAATATTCCTGCCCGGATAGAATCTGAGATTTCAAACATTCCTACCTGGATGTAATCTGAGATTTCAAACATTCCTACCTGGATAGAATCTGAGATTTCAAACATTCCTGCCTGGATATAATCCTGAGATTTCAAACATTCCTACCCGGATATAATCCTGAGATTTCAAACATTCCTACCCTGGATATAATCCTGAGATTTCAAACATTCCCACAATCTGAGATCTCAAATATTTCTACCTGGGTATAATCTGAGATTTCAAACATTCCTACCTGGATAGAATCCTGAGATTTCAAACATTCCCACCTGGATATAATCTGAGATTTTAAACATTCCTACCTGGATACAATTTGAAATTTCAAACATTCCTACCTGGATAGAATCTGGAGATTTCAAACATTCCCACAATCTGAGATTTCAAACATTCCTGCCTGGATAGAATCTGAGATTTCAAATATTCCTACCTGGATATAATCCTGAGATTTCAAATATTCCCACAATCTGAGATTTCAAACATTCCTACCTGGAAAGATTCTGAGATTTCAAACATTCCTACCCTGGATGTAATCTGAGATTTTAAACATTCCTACCTGGATACAATTTGAAATTTCAAACATTCCTACCCTAGATATAATCTGAGATTTTAAACATTCCTACCTGGATAGAATCTGAGATTTCAAACATTCCCACAATCTGAGATTTCAAACATTCCCACCTGGAAATAATCCTGAGATTTCAAATATTCCTACCTGGAAAGAATCTGAGATTTCAAACATTCCCACCTGGATATAATCCTGAGATTTCAAACATTCCCACAAGCTGAGATTTCAAACATTCCCACGTGGAAATAATCCTGAGATTTCAAATATTCCTACCTGGAAAGAATCTGAGATTTCAAACATTCCTACCTGGATATAATCTGAGATTTCAAATATTCCTAACTGGATAGAATATGAGATTTCAAATATTCCTACCCTGGATAGAATATGAGATTTCAAACATTCCTACCTGGATAGAATCCTGAGATTTCAAATATTCCTACCTGGAAATAATCCTGAGATTTCAAACATTCCTACCCTGGATATAATCTGGAGATTTCAAACATTCCCACAATCTGAGGTTTCAAACATTCCTACCCTAGATATAATCCTGAGATTTCAAACATTGCTACCTGGATATAATCTGAGATTTCAAACATTCCTACCTGGATATAATCTGGAGATTTCAAACATTCCCACCTGGATACAATCTGAGATTTCAAGCATTCCTACCTGGATATAATCTGAGATTTCAAACATTCCCACAATCTGAGATTTCAAACATTCCTACCTGGCTATAATCCTGAGATTTCAAACATTCCTACCTGGATAGAATCTGAGATTTCAAACATTCCCACCTGGATAAAATTTGAAATTTCAAACATTCCTACCTGGATACAATCTGAGACTTCAAACATTCCTACCTGGATATAATCCTGAGATTTCAAATATTCCTACCTGAATACAATCCTGAGATTTCAAACATTCCTACCTGGATATAATC